ATACATTAAACATAGGCCTACCATATGACCCAGCAATTCCACTTCTGGGTATTTATCCAAAGGAAATGAAGTCATTATGCATAATGATATGTCTGCACCCCTCTGTTCACTGCAGCATTATTTACATTAGCCAAGACATGGAGACAACCTAGATGTCCCTGGATGGATAAACGGATAAAGAAAATGTGAGACACACACACACACACACACACACACACACACACACACACGTGTTACTCAGCCATCAAAAAAGGAAATCCTGCCATTTGACAACATAAACAGACTTCAAGAGCATTATGCTAAGTGAAGTAAGTCAGACAAAGATAAATATTATATGATCTCACTCATATGTAGAATCTAAAACCCAAACAAACAAAACTCTTAGATACAGACTGATGATTGCCAGAGGGAGGAGCTGAGGGTAGGAGATGTGGGTTTATTATTGATTTGAAAGATAATTACAGAACTACTCATTTAAATCAATTTTTAAGAAATTTTTATATGTAAAATTTAATGATGACTTTACATATTAAAGACCAAATTCCTGTGGTTTTCATGGGCCTGTGCAACTTAACATCATGCCCAGCCCTATCTCACAGCTTCCTCTAGCTTGTCATGTTTATCCATCTTATGCAGGTCTTATGCTGACTTGCATTAGAGCTAGTTATTGACAAGTTCTCCTTTCCTGCCAGACTATAAGTTCCATGAGAGAAGAGACTGTATTTCAATCAGTTTATAACCCCCAAATCATTTGCCCAGGGCCATGCATGGAGTAGGTGCTTGCTAAATGCCTATGAAAAAGATGAATCACTCAACATCTCTTGCCTTTCCAACTCAACCATCCCGTCTTCAAAATGGCAATATTGCTCCTGAGCTGCTCCACAGGGGAGCTAATTAATCCTATGAAACCGGAAAGTGTTTTGAAGTTCTGCAGTACTTTGGAAGCACTCATATGGAAATGAGCACTTCTTTGGAAGAACATTAATATGTGCAATAAAGATGTTACTGTTACTTCTCTGATACATAAATGGTGAATAATCCATTTTAATGTGTTTGCTTTGAATATACTTGACCAATTTGCAGGAATTAATCTACTCATGGATACCTCTGTGGGCTGAGTAAGATGGGGCCTCTTCTAGCTCTATTGTTTTCTTCATTTCTTCAGCCTCCAGAGCTGCTATTATATACACTTCCTGCCAGGAAGGTGTCCCTGATGTGAGAATTAGCCTTTTGGAGGATCCCTGTCTTGACAGGTTGTGTGGGTAGCTATGGGATTCCAGCAGTGCACTCCTAGTCCCCCAGCCTTATAATTAGTATGGGAAATGCAGGGTAAATAACAAGGCTGAATGATCCAATAGAGAATCCCTGTCTCAGGCTGTGACTATCAGAATCTCTTTCCTGGGAATTTTAGATGAGAAAACCGGGAGAGGTGGGTTAGTCTCTTTCATGGCTGAAGTTGCAAGATGTAAATCGTCTCGGAGCCATGAGCAGGCGTGCTGTCTTCCATGTGGAGAAAGCCACACTGCAGCGTGAGTGATAAAGCTGACACACAGGGACAGATGTGAGAGGCACGGTGATTCTCCGAAGGGTCTCAGTTCCTGGTTCCAGCTGTTTGGAGGCCAGCTATGTGTCTGCTTTCCCCCACCCCCAGCTTTTTATTAATTCTCTGTTTTCAATAAATTCATCTTTTTCCTTGAAATGGTTCAAATTTGGCTTCTGTCATTTGGGACCAAACGAATTCCAACTAATGCGATGTCAAAGAAAGATTTGAGAAATGCTTCTCAGAATATGTTTGATTAAAGGTTGGAGAGGAAGCACTCAGGGACATTTTGATATGAAGCTTATATTTTGAGAAGTTAAAAGCCCAATGAATAACATAAATTAAACCCTGTTTTCCTAGACAATGAAAATAGGCTCTGCCATGTACAAACAGAATTCTAGTATTTGTGATTTACTAGAATGATGGCTTTATGAAGACAGAGATTTCGAGTCTTTGCTACTCTATGCCAATGACTATAATAGAATTTTGCACATAGTAGGAATTTAATAAATGTTTGTTGAATGAGTTCATGTATTTTTTGTTGCATCACTTTCTTACTCCAAGTAAGAAATGCACACACACACACACACACACACACACACACACACACATATCCCTACTACTTATTGAATTCACATCATAAGCCAGCCACCATGATAAGGGTCATGAAACATCTCATTTTATGTTACCAGACTGTGGAGTGAAGGTGAAGGCAACTATGGATTGAGAGAACTTGTTCTCAGAGATTAAACAGTTTGTTTTGAGAGTTTGCACACAGAGTCTATACACTGGGGTCAGGATTTGAGCTCAGGGGCATGGGTCTCCACACTGTGTGCTCTCTACCACACTACAATCATATATTACCATGTTTCTCTAAAGGGCAGAAATCTTTTTAAGTTGAAAAGGGGTATGGCTGGACTGGGAAATTGCTTCATATGTGATTCCAGTTCTAATTATCAA